AATTGCGTCAAAATCGGAACCACTAGCAGAAGAAGCTTTGAAGAGTCAAGTCACCCTTAATGTGACTAGCACTAATCAAAGAGGTGGAGGATCTGGTAGAGGTCGTGGAAGAGGAAGAGGAGGTTCTAGTGGAAGAGGTCGTGGTAACTTCAACCAAGGAGGAGGACGTGGTAACTCCAACCAAGGAAGAGGTGGAGGTAATACCAAACAAGGTAAATTTCCATTTCATTGCTACAATTGTGGCAAGTATGGGCACAAGATTGCAGATTGTTGGTATAATGAGGACAACAATCGTGGAAATCAAGCAAACATTGCTGAAAACACTACTGAAAAGTCTGGTGAGAATTCTGAAACCTTACTTTTGGCCAGCGATAGTTTTTCTGCTGATAAGAACATATGGTTCTTGGATACTGGGTGTAGTAACCATATGTGTGGGAAGAAAGAATTGTTTTCTGAACTGGATGAATCTGTCCGGTCTGAAGTGACATTTGGCAATAAGTCAAAAGTGCCAATTTTGGGAAAAGGTAAAATCTCTATTCAGTTGAAGGATGGTACTCACAATTTTATATCCGATGTGTTCTATGTTCCTGAACTACACCAAAATTTGTTGAGTATGGGACAATTGTTAGAAAAAGGATATAAGATAGATATTGCTCAGGGGTGTTGTACGATTGCAAATGCTAAAGGAGTTTTGATTGCAAAGGTAAATATGTCTCAAAATCGACTATTTCCTTTGAAAATTAAGCATACTCTCCTTGCTTGCTTTAATTATGAAGTTTGTGATGAAAATTGGTTATGGCATATGCGGTTTGGGCATTTTCATTTCTCTGGGTTAAACTATCTTGCGAGAAAGGAACTTGTTTCTGATTTACCTGTTGCGAATGTCCCTGATCGTATCTGTGAGATTTGTGCAATTGGGAAGAAGCATAGAGATCCCTTTCTCGTGGGCAAGTCAAGGAGAACCACAAAACAGTTAGAGATTGTTCACTCAGACCTGTGTTCGTTGGAGGTTCCCTCACATGGAGGTTGTAAGTACTTTATTACTTTCATTGATGATTTCAGTAGAAAAACATGGGTTTACTTTCTGAAGCAAAAGTCTGAAGCATGTGATGTTTTCAAACAATTTAAGGCTTTTGTTGAGAAGTAAAGTGGTTATGAAATTAAAATCTTGAGAACTGATAGAGGTACAGAATATATTGATTGTGATGATTTTCTGAAGAAGAAGGGTATCCAACACCAGATGACAGCTAGATACACTCCACAACAAAATGGAGTGGCTGAGAGGAAGAATAGGTCTATCATGGATATGGTAAGGTGCGTGTTGAAATCCAAGAATCTGCTTAAACCTTTTTGGGCAGAAGCTGTTGCTTGTGCTGTCTATGTGTTGAATAGGTGTCCAACTAAAAGTGTCCGTGATAAGACACCCGAAGAAGCTTGGAGTGGGAGAAAACCCTCTATCAAATATCTCAAGGTTTTTGGATGTTTGGCATATGCACATGTGCCAGATCCATTGAAAAAGAAGTTGGATGGTAAAGGTGAGAAGTGCATATTCATTGGTTATAGTGACGCTTCAAAGGCTTATAAACTATACAATCATGAAACTAAAAAGGTTGTTATAAGCCGGGATGTCACTTTTGATGAATATGGTGCCTGGGATTGGTTAACTAAAGATGAAAGTTCAGTTGTTATTCCTGTTGTTGAAAATATTGTTGATGAGCAACCGATTCAAGATAATGTCCAGTCTCCTTCACAACCAGAATCGTCAGTTCGACGATCTCAGCGCGAACGCCACTTACCAGCTCGCTTGCAGGATTATGTGTTGGGTCATGATAATGACCTGTCTGATGAAGAGATTGTTCAATTTGCTCTTTTTGCAGATTGTGATCCTTTATCATTTGAGGAGGCTGCTACAGAAATTCATTGGCTTAAGGCGATGGATGAGGAGATTCGTGCCATTGAAAAAAATGGTACCTGGGAGTTAACAGATTTACCTCCTGGAAAGAAGCCAATTGGAGTGAAGTGGGTTTACACAACGAAGTACAAATCAAATAGAGAAATTGATCGTTTCAAGGCACGGTTGGTAGCAAATGGTTACAAGCAGAAACCAGGTATTGATTATTTTGAGGTTTTTGCTCCAGTAAGTAGACTTGATACAGTTCGAATGGTTATTTCTCTTGCTGCTCAAAATAATTGGAAATTGCATCAAATGGATGTCAAGTCTGCTTTTTTGAATGGTTTTCTTGAAGAAGAAATATATGTTGCACAACCTGCAGGATTTCTGAAGAAAGGGGAGGAAAATAAAGTGTACAGGTTGAGAAAAGCCTTATATGGCTTAAAGCAAGCGCCTAGGGCGTGGTATGGTTGCATTGACTCATATTTTGTTGAAAGTGGTTTTATGAGATGTCCTCATGAACACACTTTGTATGTCAAATGCACGGATTCTGGTGATATTGTTCTAATCTGTCTGTATGTTAATGATTTGGTTTTTATTGGAAATAACATGAAGCTAATCTCAGAATTCAGGGAGGTACTCATTAAGAGGCTTGAAATGACTGATATGGGTCTTATGTCTTACTTTCTTGGCCTTGAGGTTGTTCAGATGGATGGTGGAATCTTTATTTCACAGAAGAATTATGCTGCTGATATTTTGAAAAAGTTCAAAATGGAAAACTCCAAACCAGTTTCAATGCCGTTAGCTGAAAAGTTAAAGGTGTCCAAAGATGAGTGTGGTAAGAATGTGAATGTTACAGCTTATAAAAGTTTAATTGGAAGTTTGAGGTATCTGGTGGCAACAAGACCAGATATTTCTTTTGGAGTTGGAATACTTAGCAGATTCATGGAAGAACCAAAAGAATCACATTGGGCTGCAGCAAAGCGAATTCTAAGATATGTCAAAGGTACGAGTAATGATGGACTTTTTTACTCCACTAGTGAAGCTGTGGAACTTGTTGGGTACACAGACAGTGATTGGGCTGGAGATGTTGAGACCAGAAAAAGCACATCAGGACATGCCTTCTATCTTGGTTCGACCATATTTTCTTGGTCTTCAAAGAAGCAGCAGATTGTAGCACTTTCAACCGCAGAAGCAGAATATATTGCAGCAGCAAACTGTGCTTCTCAAACAGTTTGGTTTAGGAGAATTTTGGAATTTCTACAACACAACCAGGAAGCACCTACAACTATTTTTTGTGACAACAAATCAGCAATTTCGTTGTCCAAAAATCTAGTCTTTCATGGTCGCAGCAAGTATATTGATATCAAGTATCACAAAATCAGAGAGTTGGTTGCAGAAAAACAAATCAACATTGAGTATTGCTCAAGTGAATGTCAAGTTGCAGATATCTTTACGAAGCCGTTGAAGACAGAGACATTTCTCAAATTGAAGAAGGGAATTGGGATGATCAATATATTCAACTTGGTTTAAAGGAGGCAATGTTATAATAATAATAATAATAATAATAATAATAATAATAATAATAATAATAATAATAATATTATTATTATTATTATTATTATTATTATTATTATTATTATTATTATTATTATTATAATATTTAAACCAAGTATAAAAAGTTTGTTTTAATCTAAAGCTACGTGGGCCATGCAGCATAGTGGAGAGTCCTAAAATTGAGCTTGAATGTAGTATGTACGTGGTTCATGGGCTAGTAGTACATGGAGCATTAATCCTAAAATTTAGCTTTATTATTTTACTATAAATAGGCTATGCATTCCATCATTTTATTCATCAATCAAATTCATTCCTCTCTCTCTCTTTCTCTCATATATATAAATATATTATATTTAATATATCTTATAGATATATATTATATTATATTTAATATATATATATATATATATATATATATATATTAAATATATTATATTTAATATATCTTACAAAAACTAACATCTTTTGACACTTATCAAGGAACCATGAGCATTGCTTGATCCAGACTGTGCCATTGTTCCAAGCTCGTTGATGAGAGAGAAAGACGTATGTGATAACCTGGTTGAGAGTTGATCTTTGGCTCTCAATGAAAGCACTAATAACAGTAATAATGTTATCACAATATGTTATGGAAAGTAGTGAATGAGTATTGTATTGAATGAGATTGTATTCGTATCAATTTGAGTTACAAGATTTTTCAGCATGTCCCTTGCTTATCATAGGAGCCTAGCTTTTATACTGGTGGATAGCTACAAAACATAATGGTTACGATAATAATAGCAACGACCTCCTAATAAGTGCGGCGCTCTCCTCCATAAGTGCGCTGGCCCTTAATAACTCCTGCTCTTTATATGAGGCGGTGCTCTAACAAGTACATTGGGCTCTATGTTAACTGCAATGTTTCACCTGTTCTCTGCTTGACTCTTTACCGTTACTATATGACTGCATTAATTGCCTTGACTACTTCGTGTTAGACCAAGAGCGTTCTGGGTCAGGTCTAGTACTATGCATTGGGCTTTGTGTTAAGTGCAATGTTCGACTTGCTCTCTGCTTAACTCTTGACCGTTACTATTTGACTGCATTAATTGCCTTGACTCCATATTAGACCAAGAACGTTTCAGGTCGAGTCCAATACCTTTTCCAATTATCCTGTCCCACCTATAGCTCTAAACTCAAATAGGATTTGGATGGATCATCCATAAACAATTAACCATGATGAAAACTTCTATGCATCCAAGAGGTACTACTCTCATATGTGAAGCACTTGTCTTGATGTTGTTGGGGTGGGACAATATTGAAGTTGAAACAAATGTCTGCTGGCTGCTCCCTATGAATTTACATATATTAATTTTTTTTTTCTTTTGTTAAAAGGACTGAATGGAGTTACTCACACAGAAGCTTTTTCTATGTCGGGCCAAGAATTTGGCTTATAGCCCCTCATTTTTATTTTTTTTTCTTAATGTTAATTCTTTGACATTAATGGTTAATTGTTACTTCCTTTCACCAAAAAAAAAAAAAAAAAAAAAAAAAAAAAAAAAAAAAAAAAGACGTAAATTTAATCAACGTTTGACTTGCAAATAAAACTTTCGTATGCAGAGAAATTGTATGTACAGAATTCCATTTTCACCAATTCAGTTGCTAATCTTTACTGCCTGTCTCAATATACATTGATATTTCTTGGTGTGTATGTCAAGGATCTAAAATCACTTTGCTAAACAATGATTGATTCTTCATCAACAATTTGAGGTCCCAGTCCCACCTCTGCAACATATTTTCTGTCTCTGCTGCTAATTAAGGAACTACAAACTGTAGTCTCTTCTTCAATCCGGAAAAATAAACCTAAATTGCAGACCTTTTCTCTATTTACAGTGAATTTCATCCGTTACCTCAGACGTTCAAAAATCATTGTTTTATCAGCATGGCTTCAAGTTTCCTTCTCCTTGCGGCGTGCTTTAGTTTCTCTAGTGCAACGAGCCCAACCTGCCTAACTCTCTCCCTGGATAATCCTATCCTGAAAATTCCATAATCAATAAGTATTTAGGACAACTCTCATACACTGCCAAGTTGGGAAAAAATGCAAATTCTATACCAAATGCTATAATATTTAAGCCTTACCGTCGACTAATATCTTCCCAGGTAAGACATTCATTGTCAACAATACCATAGTATAGACGGATAATCTCCCCCTCCCGTTCCCTCAATGTTGTACATATCAGGTTCTTTACTTCATCCTGCAAAAGTCAAAACACCCTTAAAATTAGGAAACTTTCTACAATATTTTTAGTCACCAATGCAAGGGAGAAGACCTCCAAACTAGAGAAGCACTGAATGCTTTCTGAGTAGCACATACATCCAAAGATATGGATGTTGGCACATCCCTTTGCATCAAATTTAACCAAACTGGAACAATTTGATTAACCATTGAACTGTTATCAACCTTCAACTAGAAAACTCTGTTACTGTGTCATCCTTTGACTTGATTATGATTTGTACTAATGATAAAAGCATCAAAGCCTTTTGCAGACAATAATTCTTAATAGCTTTCTGGTCTAGTTTTACTAGGCCTAGCAGAGCATCATCACATTTCAAATCACAAATTTTCAAAAGGGCGCTATGCTAATTGCTAAACTACCTTGAGTGCCCACTCATCAACTCCATGCCAAGGGTTGTTTTCTAGGTGATTGTCAGCAATGTACTGCAGAGAGAGGAAATTGGTGTTAAACCAAATGCCATATCCATTAGTAGTGGAAAGATAGTTTAAATCACATCAAGACAGTAATGTTGGAAATTAAGGCACAACCCTCTTAACTGTGCCAGAGACCACAAGAATCAGTGTTATATAGATACAAAAATTCAACCAAGTGAAAACTTGAAATACAAATTCTAAACTAGGGATTTTATCCATCTAATAACTACTGCACTTAGTGTGCTCCATTTAGAATGAAAAAACTTTCTAAGTTTAGACTTACACTATGGAGTGTTTCTCCTGGAAGACCATTTAAAGAGGGGAAAGCTTCCCTGTCAAGAGAGTACACCCTGCTGATTGCCTAGAAGAAGGGTAGTACTGTAAGTATTAAGATTATGAGCTCAAACCAATAATTAAATAATTCAAAGAATATTTATTACCTCAGTTGCATTTCGCACTTTCTTTTGGGACATATTAAGAGACTCGGCAATTCTCTGACAAAGAATAAGGCGGGCCCATTAACATCATTAAAATGGATAACTTCTGATCATCATCTGAATAAAGAGTTACCTATTACATAAAAGAATTAAAATACGGGAAAACTTACTTCAATTGATGGTGTTATCCCCTTCTCTTCCAGCCTCTTTTTTGCATTTCGGATTAGACTCAATCTTTCATGAACATGGTTTGGCAATCTTAACATTCTTGAGTTATCAGCTAATGCCTTGGAGACACCCTGGTATAAGGCATAGAGGTAATGAAACTTTCTTTTCAGGCAAGATACAGGACAGATCACCACAAAGCAATAACATAGGCATATAGCAAGATTACTACCTACAGTTTATGGCTTAAAAAAAGAAAACAAAAATTGAGGAAAACTCTCAGCAGGACAAAAGTATTTTTCTGCCACAGAAAATAAAATAATAAAAGATATATATTAACTGTTAAAGAAAAGAAAAAAAACTAAGCATGTACAGATGTTGATAACGAAGCATCAAATTGTAGAGCATTCTGGTTACACAGATGTAGATAAGAAGCATTAAATATGTAGAGCATTCTGGTTTGCTATATTGAATGGGTTATAGACTTCACCTGGCGAATCCACCAATAAACATAAGTTGAGATTCTGAATCCTTTTGAAGGATCAAATTTTTCTATTCCACGGAGTAGTCCAATAAGGCCGCCCTACACAAGAATCAGATATCTTGCCAACTTAAAATTTGCATTTTATACGGCAAATGTACAAGAATTTAACATCGCTAACTTGTTGGTTAATGGACACACATTTTACCTGAATAAGATCAGCCATTTCAGCTCCCATATGATCATATCTTTGTGCGATTGACATGACAAGACGAATATTACTCATTGCCAGCTTTTCCCGTGCCAAGGAACACTCCATTATTGTTGCTTGTAAATCTGCACGAGAAGTTCTCAAGGAAATTGCAATTTGCTCATCTGAAGGCTCACATCCCAGTCTGTCCTTCAGTCTGAAAAGTCCATGTGATGTGATACAGGTTTGTTAGGATATTTACAAAGTATTTCAAAGAAGAAAATCACACAGATGGAAATTAAACAACTTTAGTGGCAATCTGGAGAAGTTAAGCATACATAAGAAAGGTTTAAAACCTTGACTTGTGATCTTCTAAACAAAGGCCAAGTTTAATCTTTTTTGATAGTTGCACCACCTCAGTGTGAGTGAGCAGCTCTTCACTCACAACACCCTTAACATAGCTTTTTATTAAGCGATTATGAACCACCTCTGTGCCAATAATGGATCTCCCTCGCTTGCTCGTACTAATTCGTATGACAGGACTTTTACGATCAACAACTTTCTGTCGAGAACCTATTCTCCTCTGTCTAGCAGAGGTCCCTGAGCATGTGACCTGAACTTTCTTAGAATTATCTTCCTTTGGCACATAAGTTATCATCTTCTCAGCCGAAAGATTCCATTGTTTTTCCAGCATAGACTTCTGCAACAGGAGGAGAGCCTCTACATGATCTACCCCATCAGAGCTTTCATTTAGCAACTCAGAGATTCTCTGATCCCAGGGCTCCATGTTGGGAGTATCAAGTGCAATGTCAACGTGCTCCTTAAGAGCCTTGATGGAACGGATTCGACGACTGGAAAGAGAACCAGGACTATAGTTGGAGGATTTCTTAGCAGTTATTACACTCTTTACATAAACAACCTGATTGCACGGAAAGGTGAAATCGCTGCTGCATGACAGCTTTTCTGCAACATCAGAATAAGAAAAGGAGGAGGAAAGAAGCCTTTCTCCAGCACCAAGTCCAATAGCTGCTGCAGTGACCATCATGAAGGAAGGAAGGCTTTCCCTCGTTGATTGATACTCAAATACTCAATACCATCACAGAACAGGGCAAGTTAGCTGAACCGCAACTGCACAGCTCGACAAGAGCACAACTACCGTATCACCAGTTAGAACGTTCTCTTTGTTTGCCAACAACTAAAGCTTCTGCTAGAGAAGAAAACAGAATCAGCTCCAAAAACTAATATTGAAAACCAGAACAAAAACTAAAACAGAAAATGAGCAATCAATAGTGTAGAACAACAAACAACCAATAGCAGTATACCGCCACTTTTGCTTTTCAAATTGTTACCTAGGTCAAAATACTTTCTCTTTGAATGAAAAAATAAACACTTCTCCAGAGTTGTGAGTGTACCAGATTCTCAATATCACGATCACAATCTGAGCAATCAAGTAACTCTACGCGTAACTGTAGACCAAATAAAAAATGCTTCCTAAACTAAGCCGTTTGAAGTGAAGTATAAAATCACAGAAAATGGAATTTAACGTACACGGTTGTATGACTTGAAGTCGCTAACATAGATAGGTTACAATTCAATAATACACCACCAGGCACCATCCAGATCCATGCATGAACAAACAACACAAGTAGCAATGATCGGTCGGAGAGAAGTACCTGAGTTTTCCGGCGAGAGAGAAAGGGAAAGAACAGTGAACTCCGATGCTTAGTGGCGCAATGGTACTGGTTTTTTGGGTTTTGTAAAAAGAAAATATGTTTTTAATACTATAGTATATTACGGAGTATATTTTATCTGCGAGATTTTCGGATATCGGAGGGAAGAGATAAGCCAACGGCTATTGGCTGGAAGCAGATATTTGGTGCGGCTTTGAGGACTTGTGGTGGTGACACGCCGCGTTGGCTCGCCACGGGACAAACCTGAATCTACGCTCTCTCCTTGTATGCACAATAGCCACATATTTCACATTACCGTGGGGTCACCATTACATCTTACTCTGTTAGCCTGTGCTGTACACATTCCTCTCCATGCTATCAATTTCTTATATGAAATATATAAAATTATATCAATTTCTTATATGAAATATAAAAGCGTAGATGCCAGCTAAGGTCCTCCGAATTTGGTGATTTCGTTACTTTTAGTCCTAAACTTTCAAATCGACTACTTATGATTTTCCAAGTTTCGAATTTGACCTGTTGTAGTCCTTCCGTTAACATATGACGTCTGCACTGTGAAAAGTAAGGGCAAAACAGTCTTTTTATTTCAATCCCAGCCAAAACAATTCATTCTCCTCAAAAATTAAAATTAGCCGTAATCTCATCTCATCGAACATATTCTCTAATAATTCCCAATTACGCAAACACCATTCTTTGGCGAGCCAACCGCAATTTCAATCCGAAGATTTCACAATTATGGATTCGTTCCTGGTAAAAAAAAAAAAAAAAGCTCTACAATTCTACAATTTTTTGGGAAATGATTTGTTTTGGTTGGAGTTGAAATAAAAAGATTGTTTTGCCATTACTTTTCACGGGGCAGACGACAACAGTTAATGGAAGAACTACGGCAGGTCGAATTCGAAATTCGGAGGACCAGGCGTGGTCGATTTGAAAGTTTAGGACTAAAGGTAGCGAAACCACCAAACTCGGAGGACCTTTGATGGCATTTACTCAAATATAAAATTAGAGTCAATTATTGAAATGGTTTCATAATTATAACAAAATTATTAATTTGGTGTCTCGAGCAGTTCGGGAAACAATATAAAATTTTAACAATAGCTTCGAATTAAATAGACGTCTGGCAGTTAAACAAACGTGGTTACGGTTTTTTAATTTGAGAATTTAATTTGACAAAAAAATAGTCAATAATCAAATTGGTAATTTTGTTATAATCAAAGAACCATTTCATTAATTACCTCTATGAAATTATTATTTCAAAGTTATTGTCTTTTTAATTATGAGAAAAACTCACAACTTGTAAAAGATTTTAATATAATCACACACTCACAACATCAACAAATATAACTCAGTCTAAACTCTCTATGGTTTTATCAAAATTTTTGAAATAGAAAGAATTAAAGCCCTTACATGAGACCTCTAACTTAATTAATTTAGTAAAGCTTTGTATTTTTTTATTTTACAGAAACTAAATTTAGAGAAAATGATTTTGCCATATTTCGTATACTTTAAAATAATAAATTTGATTTGAGAGAGTCAACTACGAACAATTTAGATTAATTTATTTTCTTAGTCATTTGTCAACTAGGGTTACAAGCAATGGCGGACCTACAATGGGGCCACTAACCCCTCCCTAATTTAAGCATTTTATAAAATATAAATATAAGATTTACTAAAGATTTTAGTAACCTAGTTGGTTAAAACCTTAGGTTGCTTATGGTAGGTCATGGGATCAATTCTCACTAGTAGTATTTTTTGTTTTTTAATTTTATTTTAGCCATTCCAATCCTATAGTATTTTTAGTTTCTTTTCTTTATTTTAACCCTTCCAATCCTTCAATAAATTAAATATTTTTTAGTCTACTTTTTTGTGGATTATTTAGCTAGTCCGCAAGTTTATATTATACTTCATTGTATTCGAATTAATTTAGAAAAATTAAAAGTTGATATAACTAAAAGAAATTTAAAATTAAAGTATTTAGGAATATACTATCTTTTCTATTCAAACTATTTTATCTAATTATACTTCATTGTATTCGAATTAATCAATAATCAATTATCAATTATCAATTATGCTTCATATATTTTATAGCATTTCAAAGTGTTTTAAAATTTAACCCTACCCAAGTATAGTTTTGGCTCCGCCCTTAACTATCTTGTCATCTATCATACATATTATTGTATTATAATTTATAATGTATTTGAACCATATTATAGATGTTTGATATTTTTTCATTGACAATTCTAAAGTCGTAGCGAATTCTTCAGATAAAATTGTAGAAGATGCAAATTTTTCTAAGAAGTGAGATCTAGAGTTAAGTATGCCCACACTCACATTATTTTCTGGGTCCGCCACTGGTTACAAGGCAATGTTTACTTAATGCATACTCTCATATAATGACTACGAGTTTCTCTCGTAACTCAAAAAAAAAAAAAAAAAATAAAATAAAATAAAATATAATAATAATAATAATAATAATAATAATAATAATAATAAATAATAATAATAATAATAATAATAATAATAATAATAATAATAATAATAATAATAATAATAATAATAATAAAAAAAAAAAAAAAAAAAAAAAAAAAAAAAAAAAAAAAAAAAAAAAAAAAAAAAAAAAAAATAATAATAAAAAATAATAATAATAATAATAATAATAATAATAATAAAATAATAATAATAATAATAATAATAATAATAATAATAATAATAATAATAATAATAATAATAATAATAATAATAATAATAATAATAATAATAATAAAAAAAAAAAAAAAAAAAAAAAAAAAAAAAAAAAAATAATAATAATAATAATAATAATAATAATAATAATAATAATAATAAATAATAATAATAATAATAATAATAATAATAATAATAATAATAATAATAATAATAAATAATAATAATAATAATAATAATAATAATAATAATAATAATAATAATAATAATAATAATAATAATAATAATAAATAATAATAATAATAATAATAATAATAATAATAATAATAATAATAATAATAATAATAATAATAATAATAATAATAATAATAATAATAATAATAATAATAATAATAATAATAATAATAATAATAATAATAATAATAATAATAATAATAATAATAAATAATAATAATAATAATAATAATAATAAATAATAATAATAATAATAATAATAATAATAATAATAATAATAATAATAATAATAATAATAATAATAATAATAAATAATAATAATATAATAATAATAATAAATAATAATAATAATAATAATAATAATAATAATAATAATAATAATAATAATAATAATAATAATAATAATAATAATAATAATAATAATAATAATAATAATAATAATAATAATAATAATAATAATAATAATAATAATAATAATAATAATAATAATAATAATAATAATAATAATAATAATAATAATAATAATAATAATAATAATAATAATAATAATAATAATAATAATAATAATAATAATAATAATAATAATAATAATAATAATAATAATAATAATACTTATCATCTAATTAAATTTCTTTTAGAAGATTAATTCACAGTATGTCATACTAAATGCATTTTAATTAATATTAATTCACTTTTCTAATAAAAACGGTGAGTATATAATTTATTTATTACAATTAGAATGAATAAATAATGACTATTAACATTATAAATAGTACTAACATATAAATTATAGGTCAAATTACCTATGAGCTCTCTGTGTTATATTATTTTGTTCAATTTAATTCTTGTATTTTAAAATGTAGTACAATTAAAGATAATAATATAGTTAAGTGACATCATTGTTGCCAATTTACATGCCAACTCATATATTATTTTATAAATATTTAAAATTATTTTTTTTATCACTAATATATTACATATTCACCAAGACTATATGGTTTAATGGTATCTGAGTTGGATTTTTATTTGGAAGGTTATGAGTTCGAGCTTCAGTGAAGACATTGTTGGTTCTTTTACCCCGTTTGGTTTACGGAATAGGCCGAGAATGGCATAGCATTCCCAGTAATAGGCCTATTCCTTTGTTTGGTAACCATTACTATTACCAGGAATAGCTAGTAAGGTAATAGCTATTACTAAGGCCCCCCCTGGTATTAGCCTATTACTGAACGCTCAGGAATAGATTTTAGAATCTATTTTCTTTTTTACCCCTTTCTTTAACCTAATTTTTTTATCCTATATATAAATTTATCCTATTTCACCACCGTCGTCGCCACCACCACCATCACCGCCGCCGCCACCACCACCACCATCGCCGTCGCCGCCACCACCAACACCATCGCCACAACTGTCGCCGCCCCCACCAACACCGCCGCCCCCACCACTGCCACCGCCACCACCACTACTACCACCCCAGCACCACCACCGCCACCACCACCATCGCCACCACCACCACCACCACCACCACCACCGCCACCACCATCGCCGTCGCCGCCACCACCTTTAAATACAAATATATAATCAAAAAATAATACCTTTAAAACATTTTATTTGTATTTAAAAAGTTACACAATTTTGGAATAAATTGATATGTAAAATTTTTTATTTATATTAATAAAAAAATATTAATAACGAGTAAATTTGTAATATCTTAATTTATTCTAGTCTATAATATTCGAAAAATTGAACATTTTATGTTTTGTATTAAAATGCATATTACTTATTAGTTTATTGAAAAATATTTAATAAAAAAATTCTTAATGGCCAAAATAACAATTATAATTCTTAAATTCTTAATGGCTCATAAATAGACCCAAAATAATAATTATAGTACTTAATCATTCATCAAATTAGACTCATAAATTCAATGGTCCAAGTGACTTATGACATGGATATAAAATAGTCTAGTACTGAAATATATCCAAACTTAATATTATTACCAACCATGAATACTATTAACAAAATATGATAGTCAGTAATAATTAAGACTTAGTGAACATGTTATGCATAATAATCAATATTATTATCATAATAAACATGTTATAAGTCAAAATAAAATAGATATAATTATTATTAAATATCACTCAATAATGGTGGGATCCAAACTTGACCCGAGATAGGTCTCAAATAACTTGTTCAAAATAGGTTTTAAAGTCCTAAGTCAAACATAGGACTAAA